TATATGCTCTGAACTGCTTATATGCTCTGAACTGCTTATATGCTCTGTACATAACTAGATTATTACGTAGTACTACCTCTGTCCCGGTGGACTTTGCTAAGTGCAAAGTAGGTGAGAAATAAGAATAGTAAAAACTGTGTGGTTGAGATTTGTGCAGAGGAGAGAGAAATGTGCAGAACTACAAATTAGTTGCTTTAATGGAAAAGTGACAAAGTTTTTTGGGACAAACAAAAAGGGAAAGTTGGCAAAGTACAAAATGGGATGGAGGGAGTATATGTTATAAAATAATAAACCATTAAATTATTAATACAAATTATTATATATAATTACGTATTATTTGATACAGACATTATTACTCTCAATTCCCATTAATAAACTTTGTTTTCAATTATTAATTGTGAGTTTCAATTCTAAGTTATATACAATTTAACTAGTACATAGTAATATATTATACATAATATATAATTATATATATAATATATTACATAATGTGCGACTAGTCGTCTAATTGTCGCCTAGGCAGGCGCCTTATCGCCTAGGCAATATGGCGACTCGACTTACCGCCGTGACAAGTATGATTATTACAATGTTATTTTTATAGTATTGACATTGTCAATACAGTCACTAACACCGGTATTGACATTATCATTATTTGAAAATGTGACATTTTTTTACACTTGGTTCTTAATGACATTATTTATTTTGACAGTGTTATAATGACAATGTATATATAACAACTTTTAAAGTATTGCCATATTTTTTGTTCCAATGATTCTCTAGTAGTTATAATATCTCCAACATGACAATGTGATGTAAAATATGACATAAACATTGTGAAATTGTTTTGGCAATTAATATATTAATTTCAATAAGTTATTTCTTTAAGGAAATTAAGTATAAAAAAATATATAATCTATATGGTAAAAGAGTGAACATAATAAAAAGAGAAAGAAAAACAAAAAGGAGAAAACTAAAGAAGAGAATGCCAAAAGGATTATTAGCTAAATATATCCCCAACTACCATCAAATTCACAAATCTATCACATACTTTCAATTGTATTAAAAATAGACTCAATGTTCTAAAAGGCGCTAGAAGCTAGTCGGGCGCCAACTCAGCGCCTGGGCGGGGACTGGTCGGAGACATAGAAATTATAATTTTACCTATATTTTTGCATAAATATAATTAGTAATGTTGTGTTTATGTGTGTAAAAAATAATATATGCACACATACACATTAACATGCATGAATGATAGAATAGTCACATTAAATAATACTCCCTCCGTCCAGAAAAGGTTCGCCAACTTTGACTTTCACGTGGATTAATAAAGTAAAAATTGTGTGGTTGAAATGTGTTGATATGAAGCAAAATCTGGGCTTGGAAGAAGAGGGGAAGAAGCCCCCGTGGGTTTATGTTAGGAACCCACTTATTAGTCTAATAATAGAAAGAATATTAATAATAGATACTGATTAGTGGGCCTGTTATAATGGGCCTATTAGTATAGAGAATAATAAGAGAGCTTATACTATAAATATTAAGGGGAAGGAAGGGAGAAGGGAGGCTTTTGGACTGTTTAGTTTTGGGACTGGGAAGATCGAGTGTTTGCTCTTTCTTTGGGGGCTTCGGCCTTTGTACTTGTTACTGTTCATCATCTCCTTCAATAAAGATTTCTCTTGTTTTCTTGATATTAGCTTCTGTAATCTCTGAATAGTTAGAGGTCTCTATCATTGGTATCAGAGCCTTACTTCCTGGAGACCGAGAATCTGAACGATGGAAGAATTCTGTACGCCAGAAATGGAGGAGAGGTTGGATTCGCTGGAAAGGAAGATCGATAGAAGCCGGACGGAATTAAATGCGAAATTTGAGAAATGAAAGCTATGATGCAGGCTGGATTTGCGGAGATTAAGAACCAGGAAAAAAATCGATCCGGAAGTAGGTCGCACACCTCGGAAGCATCGTATCGCTCATCTGCTTCGCATCGCAAATCGTGAAACAGTTCGCAGAAGGAATCGTGAACTGTTTCTTCTAGTTGGCAATCGCGAATTTCTTCTCAACCATCGCAATCGCGAAATTCCTCTCAACCATCGCAGTCGCTCACCAGATCGCAGGAGTCACGAACTTCGCTATCGCGAACCTCTTTTCACTGTTCACAATCGCGAACAGTTTCTCTCCCTTCACAAACTGATTCAGCGGCTACTACTTCAAGTCCACGAAAGATGCGGTTGAGAGAAGATTACCCATCTCCACCACCAATCGATCATCATTATTCATTTTCCTCGTCTGAAGTTGCTCCTCTGGGTTCGCAAGGTTCATCTGGAATAGAAGTTCTCAATTCTCAGATTTATTCCCGAACCTATTTTTCATCTCCTATGGAGGAGAAGTCCACTGAGGGCAAAGATGAAAGCGAGAAGAATAAATCAATGACCGATGGACCTGAAGCTGGTGATATTGATCGAGTTCTCCAATGGGAACCTGTCAAGAATTTTCAGAATCTCTTTAAGGGTCTCTTAACCAATGCAATAACACAAGTGGACAAGGTCAGGGGGTTATCAAAAATTGGTATTATTTTTGTAGATGGAGATGTAGGTCGTAAGAGGCAGTCTCATAGCGTAATTGATAGTTCAGAGAAACTGGAAAAGATATGAGCATTGGAACAGGGGTAACATGGTTCACCAACTTACTAATAGAAGAAGGATGGAGAAATACATTATGGATGCTGACAATCAGGGCCAAGAAATTAGGAGTGAAGATGTGGTATCATTCCCGGGTGCCTTAGCAAAACAAATGTGGAAGAATGATCCACATATTAATGCAATTGAAAGTTCAATCTGCACTCACACCATTGTTAAACCTAAGAAGGCAGTTAAGAAGGACAGTTTCCTACTTTATGCAAATTGGGACTCCTCTAAGTATAGACTGAAAAGGGCGGTTGAGTTTACTGTTGAATATCAGTCGGATAATATCAGTGTGGTCCTGGATCCTAATACTCAGACTACTGTCATGGGATTGGAAGCTGAAGCAAATTTTCAACCTTACAAGATGATCTTAGGCTCCAATGATCCAGAAATGAACTGTTCCACTTGTGCTCTTGTAAGGGAAACCAAGCTAAATGAAGCTGTTGGAATTATAGAAAAGGGTTTCCTACTTGATGGGAAAAATAGTTATAGTTATACACTTATACCTCAGTATCAAGGTGCGGGTTATCAATGTGCAGCTCTGAAATTGCTTGTCAATACCCCACTATACATCCGGCAGTACATGGCATCAGGATCCAGAGTGATTGTGGGGCTTGTAAGCTGTCAGACATCTTTGGAAAGGTTCATGGTCACGCAATCAGTTCGATATTGGGAAGGGAGAGGAACAAGGAAGAGGAAGAGGAAACAAAAGATTTTGGCTTTCTCCTATTACCCACCTTGAGGACAAGGTGGTTGTTTAGGGCGGGAGTATTGTTAGGAACCCACTTATTAGTCTAATAATAGAAAGAATATTAATAATAGATACTGATTAGTGGGCCTGTTATAATGGGCCTATTAGTATAGAGAATAATAAGAGAGCTTATACTATAAATAGTAAGGGGAAGGAAGGGAGAAGGGAGGCTTTTGGACTGTTTAGTTTTGGGACTGGGAATAATAAGAGAGCTTATACTATAAATAGATCGAGTGTTTGCTCTTTCTTTGGGGGCTTCGGCCTTTGTACTTGTTACTGTTCATCATCTCCTTCAATAAAGATTTCTCTTGTTTTCTTGATATTAGCTTCTGTAATCTCTGAATAGTTAGAGGTCTCTATCAGTTTACCGAAGGCGGGACAGGCTTGAGCCCACCTTTGTGGGCTGGTTGCGGGCTGTTTAATTAATATTTATTCTTTTTATTTTTCCTGATTTGTTTCCTTTTGGAGGTAATTAGGATTTCTAATATGTGTTTCCTATTAGGAGTTAATTAGGATTTCTATTATTTCTTTCCTATTTGAAGTTGATTAGGATCTTTATTATTTTGTTTTCTTGTTGGAGTTGATTAGGATCTCTAGGATTTTGTTTCCTAGTTTAAGAGTTAGTAGATGGGTATTTAAACCCATTGTTAGGATTCATTCTGGCTCATCTTGGAATAAAATTGGTTTTAGCCTTTTGGCTCTGGGCAACGGTATTTTTACCGTTGATTATTGGGCAACGGTTTACCCCGTTGATTTTATTTTTTCTGTTTACAACATGTGTGCAGAGGAGAGAGAATTAACTTTAGCCACATATTCCTTACTTTAAATGAAAATGGCAAATCTTTTTGGGACATCCATAAAAGGAAATTTGGCAAACCTTTTCGGGACGGAGGGAGTATATTATACCTACTCATGTAACTTCATTATGCAATAAATATTATTTAAATAATAATAATAATAATAATAATAACACTTAAGATTATATATAAACATGTATAAATTCAAATGAAATCCAAATTGAGGACACCCCCTTTAATCAGTTCAGTCGGAAAAGTAATTCAACCTTACTTTTTTATTATTATTATACAAATCAGTGTGCAAAATCAAAAGCTACGTGTTGCGTGAAAAAGTTGATTGATAAGGTTCATAGAGAGAAAATGATGCTCACCAAACGGGCCCTCAAATTGTTTAATTTTTCTCCATTTTACTTATTATGCTTTGGTATGTTGCATCACTATTTTTTTCACTTTTTTGGTTTATATCACACCTAAATATCGAATGATCATTTCAACTCTTTCGTATTACATAGAAAAAGTTACATAATGTATCTCATATATATTATTATAATGTTATAATTGTATGTAGTATAGCATCATATGTATGTTTATGTTTATCATATCATACACGTATTTTAATTTTATTTTAGAGTATATATATTTCACATTTTCATTTTTATTTGTTAAAACACTTAAACACAACAGCTAAAGTGTAAATTATTTACGTTCTGTGCACTACACGAGTATCATACTAATTAAATTAAAACATATATAAGAACATTGGGAACCAACACTTACCTTGATTACTGAGTCGCTCATCAATAGCTCCTCCGCCATTAACTCGAATTCTGATAAGGAACAATGCACAAACCCAAAAGTTAAAACGGCACCACTGGATAAGCTAAGCTGCCCGCGGACCTACAAAACCACATGAATAGCACATTAAAAACACATACATCCATGAACGGGATGATATAGGTTCAAAGAACGATTCCAGGAACTGATACTAAAAGAACAGATAGCTGGCAAGGACAGGGATAAGATTAAACTATTCAAGTACTAAAAAATCTAGCAGATACTAGAAATTGCTAAAAGTCATATCCTGCTATTTAGATTTTAAACATCTTCACTAGGTCAAGTCAGTGTTCTATAGATCATAAGGCTTTTCCATAAGTCTACATGATGCATCATGAAGCAGAACAAAAATAAAAAGAATTATTACTGAAGCACCATAAAGAATGGTCAGCTTTTCACACACGCATATACATAATTACACGGACACGGACACAGATACATACACATATCATGTACGTACATGTATAAACATGTGTATATATACTTAAAACATGCATAGGTGACATGTTTAAAATCATAAAAAGATTATTAAACACACATTTTCCATTTTGGATAAGTGATTATGGCTTAATCTTCTAATAAGTGCCAAAACAACCACACAAATAAAAACTTTCCGACTGCAATTATACTGTGGCTTCTGAACACAGTTTCCCATGTGGTCAACAAGAAATATGTTCAAAGACCTGGACACGACTCCAGAGTAAGGGAACAGCTGCGTGGGCATGATTTAGGATATAAACATTTGTCAAGAGTGGCTGATTAGGAAAATCTAAGAGAAGGGTATCTGTGTCTGTTGACATGTTGTAATTATTGATTACTAATCTTCGAGGAACAGCATCATAGAATGTCCCAGCAGCACCTGAATTTGCAGGACAGCCAAAACTTCTCCCCCCTGCAAATAAAAAAATAGAAAAGAATAATGCAATGCCTTTCTCCAAAAATAAATGGGTAACCAGATCAAAAATGTCTGGTTCTCAGCAAAACATGTCCACTCGCTCGCTTTCTACTAGAAAAAAGTTCAATTCCAATAATTTAAATAAAAAAGAAAGCTGGCAAGAAATATACATGAAGCCAGAACTATAACTCTATAAGTGATCAGCCAGGAGTGGCAGGGGTCAGTCTCGTTTGTTCAATCCGACCGACCCTAGGTCGAAGAGCCTATGGAACTCGACCAGCTGCAGTCTATCAACATCTATGGTAGCTTAGTTTAGTAATTACAGCTATTAATCACCTAGGCGATGTCAGAGGTAGAACCATCAGTCACACTTGTCAATACTGTTGTCATCAATAGGATACCTAGCATACACTGTTAGGCCTCATAAAATACTCCCTTCTCAGCCTATGGGAAGGGGCCTTCTAACTCGTGAGCATACCTAGCATTTCAGAAAGACACGCAGTGGCTGAACTCATCAAGATTGTGGCTCGTTGGAGGTTTGGAGCAGAACAATCTTGGTGGTCTTTGTTGAGGTTTATCTAGATCGAATTGCTAGTTGGAGCTTAATTGACTCTCATATCATATTCAGAATGGGTATTTCATCCTAAAAGGTAAACATGAAAGGAGGAGGGGTCCAAGGTTTTGTAACAATCCCACACCGATAAGTATGAGATTGATTGGTGGCTTATAAGCTAGGTGTCCCCTCCTCCTATTGGCTAGTCTTTTGGGAGTGAGTTCTACACCTAGACTTATAGCCTTGGTATGGGCCTAGTATGGGCTAGGTCCATAACAATTGAACAATTGAACAATTGGTATCAGAGACATCCCCATCTTCCCCCATCTTCCCTGTCCCAACACTCGGAGTGGTGGCCTATGGAGTGGTGGCTTGGACCCTGGGGGTGCGAACTATGACCAACATAGTCGTGACCAACAAGGGCGTTGGCTCTTCGAAGCATAGGTATTGTAACGATCCCACACTGATAAGTATGGGATTGATCAGTGGCTTATAAGCTAGGTGTCACCTCGTCCTATTGGCTAGTCTTTTGGGAGTGAGTTCTAAACCTAGATTTATAGCCTTAGTATGGACCTAGTATGGGCTAGGTCTGTAACAATTGGTATCAGAGACATCCCCATCTTCATTGTGCCAACACTCAGAGTGGTGGCCTATGCATTGGTGGCTTGGGCCTTGGGGGCGTGACCAGCATAGCCGTGACCAACAAGGTCGTTGGTTCTTCGAAGCGTGGGTATTGTAACGATCCCACACTGATGAGTATGGGATTGATTGGTGGCTTATAAGCTAGTTGTCACCTCCTCCTATTGGCTGGTCATTTGGGAGTGAGTTTTACACCTGGACTCACGGCCTTGGTATGGGCCTAATATGGGCTAGGTCAGTAACAGGTTTTTTATGTTAAATTGTATCTTTTACGTAAGATAGCTTAAAAATAACTACAATATGCGACTCCTCAATTAGCCATATACACATTCCACATGCTTCTTAGCCTAAAGATAGTGCGTGCAAACTATCTCAACCCCCTCCCAACCCCTAACTATTACTCAGCTGTCAGTTCAAAGGTTTGGTCAGGATGACCACATGACCAGATCCGAAATACCAAGCATCATCAAATCCCAATATCAATGAAATAAGTTTGCAACACGCAAGCTAAAAACAAAGAAAGAAAAGCAAAAAAATGAATAAAACGTAACATATCCACTGGCGAATAAGGATGGGAAGAGAATAAAACGTAGTTACACGGACATCATAACATCAACATAGGCTAACACAACACAAGAATTCACATTTTTATCTTTAGGAGCTAACGATTTGCTAATAATCATTGGTCTATGTGGAAATTTGGGTGTCAATAATAACTTTTCATCACGATGGCAAGGAAGTGCATAAGGGACATCTGCCTGCATTTGTTGGAATATGTCAAAACTGACGATATCCGAAAGCACATTTATAAGTCCTTATTAGCAGCATTACCGCAATACCGCCATTGCTGAAATATGGTTTTAAAATTCAATACTACCAACCTTACACACATAACATGAAGAAAGCATTTAGGTGAACAGGAACAGAAAGCTTTGAAGGGTTATAATTAAAAACAAACAAAAAAGTATCATTCAGCCTAGCCTCCTAGCAACTTACCATGAACAAAGAATATAGGGTCATCATGCCTACTAAATGAATTTACAGATACTCTTCCACCACCTCCACCGCCAAATCCATTGCCCCCCGGAAGCACTTATTCCACCACTTCCTGTCCTGCTAAAAAGAACAATGAGCGCTTGAACTTTTGAAGACTGTGAAATTTAAGAAGATTGTCTTATATCATGGTAATATTGACTATTCAAACATTGATATGTATCACAATAAGATGGAATTTAAGACAACATCATACATAAATAATAACTCCTTTTTCACATAGTTAATGAAGACATCCTATGAAGACCACAATAAGTTTATGTGATACTCCCTCCGTCTCAAAATGTTCTTCTCACTTTTCTTTTTGGACCGTCCCAATTTACTGCCTGTAACAAACAAGCAAGAATGGCATTATGGAACGGAGGGAGCAATGGTGCGAATCACAAGGAAAAATGGATGTACGCACGCCTATCTAGTAACACGAGAATCTAATCCAAACACCTCACCCACCAAATAAGCTCCAGCATTCGGCCATTCACAAAGAATGTGCTTCCATTTCTTAGTCCTACGATTATAGTCTAAAGTTTTCAAGTCCCCCCCACACACACCTCAAAAGATTCATCTTTGATGCTTACCTGAAAGATATAGGAGAATTCCAAGAATTTCAATTGCTTGCAGTTGGATATTTGTAGCTCCTCTTGCACTCCCACATAATACTAACTGCTACATTTTCCATAATCTAAGGATATCAAAATAAGTGGATTTTGGCTTCTATTCTTCAATGAGAAACTTCTGTTTTTTAAACTAAGGTTCTTTTCTAAACTATCATTTCAGTACCAAAGCAGCACAATTTCTTCATTATTCTGATTTGAAAGCAAAACTAGCAGAATTTTTTTTATAAACTCATATAGCAAGGGGAAAGCAGACAAACAAAGACAGTATTATATGCTTCTCCATTTTGATAAGTATAATTAGTCATACACGTACCATAGTCATTGTGGTTAAATATGCTTTTCCATTTTGATAAGTATAATTAGTCATACACATACCATAGTCATTGTGGTTAAATATGCAAGACAAAGGGGAGTGAAATGAGCCAACACAAAATATTGAAGTAAGGTTCATCTAAATGAGATGGAATCACAGTACATTTTCTTTGATTTGATGTAAATACTCCCCCCGGAGCCGCCTCCCCCTTTGATCCCCCCATCTCCACCATCAGCCAAAAGAAAACCTTGAGCATCTACCGTGTCTCGTGACTCCAACCATATCCTCCCACCCCCTTTCCCTCCAAAATCATCATCCCTATTCGTGCTCCCGCCTTTACTCCCAAAGCTGAAGGGCTCGTGCAGTGACTTCCACGAATATGCATCTCCTCCCCACACATCCTCAGGAAGCTTCTTATTATCCATCAAACAACTAGCCCCTCTACCACCATGACCCCCACCACCACCCTGGAACCCATTTGGCGTTCCCCTGGAATTCTGGGGCGGGTCACCTGCCAATGCAGTAGCATTGATCACCGACCCAGCCGATAAGGTTGTGTTCCCCGAAACTATATACACGGATCCAGCTATAATATGGGCGTTGGAGGCCAGCCTGAACTCCCCCGTGATGTTAATCTCAATGGAACAGCCTAGGATAGGGCAACTCAGTACCACACCTTGGAGAACAATTAAATTCCCATTTCCCTCGATGTACACATCCCCTGTAAAGTTCAAGCTGTAATTGAGCTCGCAGGTGGTGTTGAGGGACCCGATTCCTTGCAGAGCGTCGCACGTGATTGAAGGAGGGTGCGGCGGAGGAGGCACGAGCGGGGAGTAATCGCCGTGGATGAGATCCGAGTTGCTGGGATTGTAATCAATTATCGAAAAATCGGATAAGGAACCAAACGCGGAATGGAAAATCAAAGAACAGGTTACAAAAATTTGAATAGCTGAGATCAGAATCCACAGTTCCTCCATTTAAAAAATACATCAGAAATTGAAAAATTAAAGAAGAGAAACAAAAATGGGGAATTTAGATAAGCGTAATACGTGGGTTAAAAGGAGATGTGCGCTCTATGAAGGAACAAATGAATGGAAGAAAAAATTGCGGAAGAAGACAAAGAGGAAGGGCGATGAGATGGGTGACAGAGAGAGTAGGCTGCGGTTTCTTCCCTTCTTTGTGCCTTCATCGTCTCACGAGTTGGGCACCACGAGTTGCATTGCGCAGCCCTGCTCATGAAAATTGGCTGAATTGGGATTTGGGGGTGGATCCGTCAATTACTTAATTGGAATCAATTGGAGCCTGGAGTAAAGAGTACCTCAGAGATACATCAAATAGGCAAAAAGGGTCTAATTTGGTCCACTACCTCGTTAACCAGTAAAAATGACGATGTGGCCAACGAGTTAATGACATGGCAAGTAATTACCCAACTCACACCCGCTAACCGTTGAGTCTCAACCTTCTCCAACCTTAAATCGAGCGTTGTAAAGAGAACGAGCAAGAGAACAAAGCCATTTCTCCTTCGTCTGAATTTGTCCCTTAGTGTGAAGGTAGGCATGGATTCTTCGCAACTAAGGTATGTAAATGGCAACGGTTGCTATACTTTACAGTACACTGGTCCCCTGCTGTTTGTACCTTTTCTCTGATGTCTTTTATATATTATTCCGTATATGCTAACCTTATGTGTTTGTAATACTGGTATACTGCTAATAATATGCACGTGGATGTGTCCCCTGCTGTTTTTTTGTGCTATTATTGTATGAGTTGTGATTTAATGAAGTTATGTTTAAACTTTTTTGTTGTTGCATTGAATATAAGTAGCTGGACACCATTTATTCTCGTGGTATTTGTAATTGGTAGGCCATGGGCTGACACAGGCACCTCAAGGATGGACCTGCCGCTGAAGTCCCTTTTATTGTAGATTTGGGATTTACAGATCCTCTTATTGAGGCAGAAGCAGGCATATTGTTTGAAGATGAGGTCAACTCTGATAATGAGGATGATGAAGAGCTACTTCAAGGTCGGTTGTTGCTAAGGAAGTTGGTGACAAATGCAAAGAATTATGGTAAAAACAAAGCCTCTACTTCTGCTGGCAATGACATAAGTGTTGAAGAAGAAGAATTGTTTGAGGATGGTGGGAATGAGACAGATTACTTCAATTCAAGTGATGAAGGAAGTTACAAATCAGGTTCTGATCCTGAAGAAGAAGGAAGTGTTAGAGTTAAATCAAGATTCCCAACCTTCAAAACAGATGACCAAGTTGATTTTTATTGTGGTATGAGCTTCCAGTCCAAAGAAGAGGTGAAACAAGCCATGGACAATGGCTAAGAACTACAAGAACATGCTTAGGGCAAAGTGTTCCAATTTGGAGAAAACTTGCACATGGACAGCCTACTTTTCCATAGACAACCGCAGTAGCAGTAAGAAATGGGTGGTTAAGACATTAAACCTGGCCCATACTTGCAATCTTGGGTGGCAGATTCCAAGTGCAATAGCTAAATGGTTAGTAAAAAATTTCTCAAGAATAAGACAGGTGTATCTGACATGAAGGTTGCAGCAATGAAAGAGATGGTTAAGAGAGAACATAATTGTGATGTTTCCCTTGAGCAAATGAAGAAAGTTAAAGGTATGATAAGAAAGATGGAAAAGGGAGACATTGAGGAAGAGTACAAAAGTTTGGAGGATTACAAGGCTGAAATCCTTAGCTCCAATCAAGGATATACTTGCATTCTACAGCTACAGCAACCCACTCCAGTTTTTTAGAGGTTTTATGTGTGTTTTGAAGCCTGCAAAAAGGGTTTCTTGAAGGGATGTAGAAGGCTTATTGGTATAGATGGTGCATTCCTAAAGTCAGAAGTGAAAGGTGAAATCCTCACAGCAGTAGCAAGAGATGCAAACAACCAAATGTTTCTTATTGCATGGGCTGTTGTGGGTTCATAATCAAAGGGCACTTGGAAATGGTTTCTGGAGAATCTAAGAGATGATTTGAACATTGGAAGAGGAAAAGGATGGGCTTTTGTGTCAGATCAACAAAAGGTGAGTAACATTTTGATACTAATATATGAATTGAATACCAGTGTAGTGATAGTATTAGACCAAATTATAATACTGATGGAGTATATGGCCCAGGGACCCTTGGCCCACAGATTCCTATTTCTCCTACACAGGCCCAATGAGCCCAATACACGCCCAGGGCCCAAATACAGCGGCCCAAGTGTCAAGAAGCCCACAATACACATAGGGGTGCCTTCGGCCTCCTTGGCCGAGGGCTCCAAATTATGCAGGGCAGCCAGATCTAAGCGCACTAGGCTACTGGGGGGAAACGACGTGAAACAGTAGCCCTCGGCTACCAGGAGCCTTCGGCAAACACATGGTGCCTTCGGCTACCCAACACCCTTCGGCCATATGTCACTTGCCGCGGGATCTACGCTCCACGAAGCTTCCTCTGGAGACAAGCAACCACCGCATTCAATGTGGCGTCACGTCCAACCACCGTATTTAAAGCGGCACACATGCTTTTGCCGTTGCCACCCCCGATTGAGGTGACCCTCGGCCGCCAAATTGTTGACACGTGTACCCTCATCGCATTTATGGCTGCTATAAATAGAAGCCCTTATTCTCCTTGTAAAGCACGCAGAAATCATTTAATACAGCCAACTCTCTCTCCTACTTGTTTGCTCTGACTTCTCTCTAAGTTATTCTCATAATAACCCATCGGATAAGCTACCCCTCGGGTACACTGTCCATCAAATACCAGTGTCATTAATATGAATTTTCTGATTCCCATTGCTATGCTAATGATAGCATTACACCATGCTATGCATACATCATTGATTGTAAGTCATTAGCACCTTATTTTCCTGATTACACCATTTTATATGAAGTAATTACCACACTACTATTCTGATTTATCTTTATGGTATTCATTATATTATTTGACAGTCATTACCTTTGTGATTATTATGAAGTAATTACCACCCCACATTTGTTTATTTCAGGGATTAATGCCAGCTCTATATGAAACATTCCCAGAAGTTGAGCATAGAAGATGTGCCAGGCATATATATGCAATATGGAGAAGAAATAATCCTAGTATTGAATTGCAGAGATAATTCTGGAAGTGCTGCAAGTCTGCCTCGAAGAGAGAGTTTGAACAGAATCTTGAAGGACTGAAATCTATTTCCAGTATAATGGCTAGCAACTATTGAAGGGTCATATTCAATGGGGCTGATGGATATGAAGTCTCCTGTGGTGCTGATACATATCTTGTTGACCTAGAGAACAGAAGATGTTTGTGTGAGCAGTGGGATGTTTCAAGGATTCCATGCAAGCACGCCATATGTCCATTAGGAATAAGGGGCATCCAATAGAAGATTATGTGTCACTGTGGTACAAGAAGGAGATGTATCAGCATACCTATTCTTTCATGATGACCCCTATAGCTGGCCCTCTTTTCTGGCCTAAAACTAACATCATAGTCATGCATGCTGAGTTAAAGAAAAAAGAACTAGGAAGGCCAAAGAAAAATAGAATAAAAGAAATAGGTGAGTTTCCAAGAACTGGGAAGTTACCCAAGAGAGGTACAAGCATCACATGTCAGCTCTGCTTCAAAAAAGGCCAGAACAAGAAAGGGTGTCCATCGAAAGAGCAAATAATGCAAGGGGCAACTACTTTTCCGGTTGATATGGAAGGTGAAAGCTCAAATCCACCTATAATATCATGCGGTATATGCTCCCAAACTGGCCACAGTCAGAACATGTGCCCAAACAATACTGACACACATCAAGTTCAGGTAAAGTATGCAAAAGAAATAAAAATAGCTTTTTTTCATTTATGGGTCTACTTAGATATTACAGTTCTTAAAAAGTATTTATGACTGTATCAGGAAACAAACAATGGAAATGGTCCTCCTCAAGATACTAACACTGGTGGAAGCACATTGGAAGCCTACTTTAGTGACAAACAAACTACAAATGAGACATCTGGTGATGGTGTGTTTGGATGGAGAGGACAGAATTCCATAAGTGCAGGTGGTTTGGAGGTAATGGCCTTAAAAATGAAGATTTGTAGTTATGTTATGAAAATAAAAATGACTTCTACTATGATTTTTTTATGTTTGCAGAGACCGAAGGCAAGGAAAGAGAAGGAAAGGGCTGTAAAAGCTAAGAATATGAGAAAGAGAGGTGTTGCAGAGGTGTGTGCTGAAGAGGTGGAAGTACATGGTGATCCCACAAAGTCAAGACAGAGGTTCCATGCTTTGTTTGACTCAATGGAAGAGATTGATGGCCATTAGTCTTGCTATGCACTAGTTTGTCAAACATTGTAGTACTATTGGGAATATCCTACTGCCTATTTTGGTGATTTGGTGGTGGTTTGTAGGATGTTAAGCTTTTTTTAGATGTATATGGGCTTATATGGATGATATGCAAGTTTTTTGGGTGTTTTGCACTTGCATAAAATATTGAGGTCATACCTTAGTGGATGAATATGTACATTTGTTGACTTTAGACCTATTGTTTTTGGTGCCATGTATATGGTGTGTGTGCCAGACTTGGTTGCATTATGAAACACCAATGTAATGATGTGTAGTTTTTAATGAATGTTTTATAAATCATCAGATCATTGTTCCCCACTTGCATATCATGGTTTGAGGTCATTTTTCTGGTAATACCAGGACATTGTTTTTGTTCTGCTTTGAGGTATGATAGGAGTTCATTGTTGTTGTCATATCAGGCCATTTCATAGGTCTTGCTATGGGCATATGAGGTAATATTGGAGGTCAGATTTGAGTTCATATATATGCCGTATCAGGCCATTTTATAGTTCAGACTGAAAGGTTAAATTTGAGGCCATTCTTAAGGTCATTTCAGGCCATTCTTTGAACTCAAACTTTGAGGTCATATTTGAGGTCATAAGTAAGGTCATATTTAGGCAATATCAGGTCATATTAGAGGTCATATATGGCCATATTTGTTTCAAGTCACCTAAGGCCATAATTGAGGTCCATATCAGCCCATATCATGACTCAGTTTTGCTGCAGGAATACTGACAAAATTTAAGTCCATATCAGACCATTTGCTGCTATAATGAATACAAGTTTCAGGTCCAAATAAAAGTCATTCTGCATGTCATTCAAAGAAACATAGTACAAGTACTGTGGTACATCAGAGCCAAGTAACTGATACACCAAAGTTACATGAACTTCAACTGATACATCAAACCTAAGCCAACTGATAAACCATACCTAAAACCTAATACATGAAACATCAACTT